GAACTTTATATATTTTTCTATTTTCGAAATCGTTTCATAACTATTGTGAATTTATTTACGTATATATTCCCGGGTTCAGCCGTTCAGTTCGCAGCGATACTCCCATACCTACCACGCTGGTATAGGAAAAAGTAATTTTTGCTGGAGTTTCTTGACCCTAGTGATATGAAAAACATATTTCACGACTACTGCATATCACCACGAATATCGCGTTTTTCACCGAGCTCTACGCTACTTCTTGGAAAACGGATGAAACTCCACTGAATTTGAATATTATTTCTCCCATGAGTTGGCCGAAACTGTGGGATCGTTGAATTTCGAGATTTTTTTTGCGGAAAAGATTCGTGTAAATCGATCGCGTGATCGATTATTAATGATTGATTTCCCGTTTAGGTTCAACCATGTCGTCAGCGGCTCCTGCCCGGTTCCCTGTGGCTGCGGAGATAGCGGCAGTAGCGCCCGCCCCGGCGATCGATTATAGTTATCTCATTCGTGAACATGATATTGCAATTCCATCGACGATGCCGCCGGACACTACTGCTAAGGATTTGCCTACTACGGTAGAATTTTTTTCCGGAAAAAAATCGGAAAAGTTTTGTGGCGCGCGAAATAGGTACCACCGTATGAGTTCTGGTTGTTGAAGGCAATCGATCGAAGTGTAAATATTATGGATTATTGGGATGCGGTAATAATGGTAGTATCTTGAGGTCGCCGATGGAAGATACAAAATAGGTCCGATTGAGGTACATTTGCTTTCACTCAGACTGAGCATCAGTGGGACATGGACGGCCTGGTTGACGATCTTCATAACGCTCGAGAGGAGCGCGCGGCGGCGGCTACGACAACGGAGGGAAGCGATGGAGGAAAACGAAACTGAAAAAATTCACAACTCGAAATTCAGCGGAAAAAATTTACTAATTGTCTTAAAACGTCCATTTGAGCGTTTTGAGTTGGGGCAGAGTCGGAATTTTTCGCGCAGTTTTTTGTTCATATGATAACCGCCTTTGATAATACGTGGGAGGTCGACCCGGCGGATGTTGATTTATATGAGAGCATCGCAGCGGGGAGATTTTCACAGGTTTTTAGGTAATTTTTTTGGGAAAATTTCCGGAAAATTTTGGGAAAATATGCATACGGCGACTACATGTATCGGTAACAATATAAAAATTCCGAAATTTTTTTGGGGAAAATTTCCGGAAAATTTTTTATCACTGGGTTCCTGGAATTTGTATGTAAACTTCTGAGAGCGGATAAGTATTTTAACATTGATCTTTTTTTTCGAAAAAATATTTTTTTTGGAAAATATTTTTTTCAGAGGATCTTGGCGAGGTGCAGATGTTGCGGTAAAGGAAATAAATTTAGACGATCGCGAAGCCCCGGAAATGCTGAGAATATTTGAACGTGAATTGATGGTAGTAGATCGCGGGTTCAAATTCTGGCAGGGAGTGCAAAAAATAAAAATTTTGCGGAAGTTTTTTTCGAAAAAAAAATTCATAGGTAGGCAAGGAGGGAATCAGCGTGGTGAGCTTATGAGTGGGCTGAGTAGAGGTCTCGGGTTCGATCCCGGGTGAGGGCATTTTTCGGTATTTTTTTATCACTGCTAGGGTTGGGGGTACTGTATAATTTTCAGAAGCGAGATTTTTGTATTTTGTGGATTTTTCGTGATTTTCTGCTTTCCATTCGTTATTGATAATTTTCGATTTTTTTGAGAGGTTCGCAACGAACGATTTAGGTCAAAATTTGACTTTTATGAGAAATTTTCGCCTTGTGTGGAAAATGTTAGATGGTTT